AATCTTTTCAAAATGAAGGCAAAATAAACACGTCTTCAGACTTACAAACGCTGAAAGATTTTATTACCCCGGGAGCCACGTTACAGGCAATGTTCATGGACGCCCCTCAGGTAGAGAAACACGATCCCAGATGGAAACTGAGATCCAGAAAAGGGAACGGAGGGCCCCAGAAAGATGACCCTGTGGGCAGAGGTGTTAGCTTTTTCCTCATTGTTCAAATCTCTTTAGAAGGTAACTGAGCAAAAGTAGTACAAAGTGTTGTGGGGTTTATAACACATAAAAGTGGAGGGTGTGGCGATGTGGAAGGAGGAGAAAGGAGATGGCACTGCTGTGAGGTCCCTGCGCCGCCCACGCAGGGGAGAGCGTCACTCGAAGGTGCACCCTACACACCCAAAGGCAGCAACCTCAGACCATGCCTGCACCCGAACCCCAAGTGGACCAACAGCCTAAATGTAAGAGCTGAAACTCTGAAACTCTGAGACTCAGAAGAAAACAGCCCTAAGATTGTGTGACCTTGGATTAGGCATCAGTTTCTTACATATGACACTGAAAGTACAGGAAATAATCATCAACCGACTTCATCAAAATTAAACACTTGTGCTGCAAAGGACACAATCATAAAAGTGAAAAGATAATACACAGACAAAAAAAAAGTATTTGCAAATTGTGTACCTGATGAGGGTCTAGTGTCTAGAATATATGTGTGTGTGGGTACTCCTATTACTCAGTAATAAAAAAAAGACAACCCAATTTAAAAATGGGCAAAGTTTCTGAAAAGACATTTCTCCACAGATACACAAATGGCCAGGAAACATGTGAAAAGACACTCGATTAGTCATTAGGGAAACAAAAGTCAACCACAGTGAGACACCACCTCACACCTACTTAGGATGGGCTACAATGGAAAAGACAGTATCAAGTGTTGGCAAGGGTTAGGGTCAGGGTTAAGGTCAGGGTCAGGGCCAGGGTTAGGACAGCAGAGCTGGGGATGTGCAGGGTTCATATAGGGATGAGACCGCAGCTGACCGGGCAGGGGGCCGGCCAGGAAGACCCCGAATGCACGTGCAAAACAGCGAGGAGGTGACAGGGACAGGGGCAGGGGCGGACGGGACCCAGGGTAGGGCAGCAGCCCAGGAGGCAGGCTTAGACGCGGGCCACCCTGGCTGCTGTGTGCCGCACAGACAGCTGGGCTCATGGGGAGCCGGGCGCACTGACAAGGCTACTGGGTGACCCTGGCAGGGTGACTGGCCCAGAGACCGGCAGGCCAGCTGCAGGGACAGTGCATTCTGCTCATGGCCACTCATGGCACATCCTCATACAGCCCTGGACATGACCACTGCTCTCTCCAAGGGCCTGGAAGCCTGGAGGCCCTGCCACACCGCGGGGTGTAGGATGCAGACACGTACCTTCCTTGGCACAGGCCAGGCCGCCAGATCCCCCTCCAATCACCAGGAGGTCGTAGCACTGCTGTCCTGCTGGAAAAGGGGTAAGAGGTGAGGGGGGCCAGGACTAGTTGGGGGCACGTGTCCCAGAAGCCACAGTTTCCAAAGGGCTGGCAGCTCTGTTCGGTCTAATGTGGCACAGGATGGACTTTACAGGACCAGAGTCCCGCCTGTGGTCTGGGGGACCACCTGCCCCACCTCACGCAGAAGGCAACCACACACCCTGAGACTGAGCAGAGCCAGACGAGGCTGGCGGGGGTGGAACCCCCCACATACATACCCCTATGTCAGGAAGGTAACTTAACCGGCAGGACTGCCCCAAACTTAACTTCACCCAGTGCTCTGAGCAGACACGTTTGCTCTGAGTCCATCTGTCTTTCAGTTGCAAAGGTCACCCTTAGTTCTAAGTGAGCAAGAGCAGGAGAGACCCTGTACTGGGCAGCATGGCCTGGCCTCTCAGAGTGCCTGCTGGGCCTGGGAGGGCAGCGACTTGAAATGCCTTTGGGGCTCACCCTGTCTTTCCTACCCTGCGGAAAGCATTATTCATCCTTCTTCTGCAAATGCTGGCATGGAAGGCAGGCAAGGGACAACTAATATGGGGTGGGTGGCGAGCAGGGAGTGGAGGGGCAGGTGAGGGCAGCTGTGTCCTCGGGTGTGGCCAGCCTGAGGGAGCCCTGAGCCTGGGCCCGCGTCAAGGACTCCAGGCACCAGACACTCCCCAGCCGCTCTCCATGAAGGGAGGAGCACTAACAGAAAATTAACAGGATGGGGTGGAGGGGGAGGGAGTTCGAGGGAGCCCAGGAGCTGCATCCAGGGGCTCTCTCCTCTACTGCTGCGCAGTTTGCCAGCAGAACACCCCTACCTTCCATGGCAGGTGCCTGTCCTTCCTGCGGCCACGACAGGGTCCCCGTGCGTCTCTCTGCCCCGCAGCCCACCCTGTGCCCCCTGCTTGCTGTCAGATAGAGGGCAGTGCGAGCAGCTGTCCGCATGGATTGTGGGTTTATCTTTGGCTGTTTGCCCTCCCCATGGGGCATGCCCAGGTGCCCTCAGTCTGATAATGACTTGGAGGAGGCCAGCAGCTGAGCCTCTGGAAGCTCCTGTAAACACGTGGGAGGATCTGGGTCGCTGCCCTTAGGGTGTCAGTGGGGGATGCACCCCTGCACCCCATGGGGCCCCTGCACGCAGGGTTCGGCCTGGAAAGGTCTGTCTCACCCCTGCGCTCCGAGCCCTCCTTTTTTGATTTTCTGCTGTCCTCTGAACGCAGGGCCTGGGACCGGGCCTGCCAAGAGTGGAGCCCAGCGAGGATGGCGAGGCTGGAGAAGGGCACTTGGGAAAGCAGAGGCCCCACGTGCCCACAGGCCGCCAGCCACCTCGGGAGCCACCTGGGAGGGGGAACGCACAGCTGTCCTCCCTGTATGCGCTTCCCTGGGGTTCAGGGACAGGTGACACCAGCCGCACGGCCACTCTGCTTCCTGTTCCGGGGCTGCACCCACCACCCGCACACCCAGACGGGGCAGGTGTCTTCCTTCTCAGACGAGCTGCAGGGCTGAAATGGAGGCTGAGGCCCCAAATTGTACCCAGGGGCCCCTGTTGGGTGTCACCACTGCCCCCAGGCCCTACCAGCTCCTCCTCACCCTGGCCCTGTGGGCTCCCCTGGGTGCAAGGCCCCCTACCAGCCTGCAAGGCCTGGGCTTGTGGCAGTAGCTGCAGCAGGCAGGATGAGGGGCATCAAATCACCGCGAACATCCTGCCTGACATGTGCAGCTGGGGTCCTGAAGGTCAGCAAAGTTACCGAAAGCAGCTACCTGTCCCCTCCTCACAAGCAGGTGACGGCCTCCCTGGACTCTGTGAGGCCACTCCAGCCCTGCTCCCCAAGACCATGGCAGCACACAGCTGGCTGAGGGCCCAGCCCCTCTTCCTCTCATGGCACCATGTCCACGAGGAGCAATTCCCCCGTCCCTGCTCCAGCCCCCACTCCCCTTGGGGTCATCCAGGGTAGGGTCTGGGGGCAGATCACTGTGCAGGGACACGGTGAAGAGCATGTCATCACGCACAGGACTGGCAACAGCACCGTGGCTTAAGTGGTGGCACTGGCCAGCTCAGGGCAGTCCGTGCTCCCATGGGACCCAGCCTCTGCCCCCGACCCTGGCGGCACCCTGGGTGCTAGGGTTATGGGACTACTGTGTGGTTTGGTCCTTGGTGGCTCCAGGAGGACTCCCAGCATGTCCTCTCCTCCCGAGAGCCCCACAGAGCAGTGCAGACCGGGGCATGCCGCGGGGCCCCGGTGTCCCCTTCCTGATTCTTGCACGTGCCTGTATCGTGCCCCTGTTGCGTGTGGCCGCTAGGGCCTCGGGGAGGAGGCGGCCAGGTTGGCACGCGCGACCTCAAGAGGTGAGCCATCTCCACCAAGGTCAGGACCACGTCGATCCGGGGCTGGGGGCTCCGGGCAGCGCCTGGGGGCGGGGCGGGGGCCCTGCTCGCTCCCACCCGGAAAGGGGGCCGGGCGCCCTGCTGGCGGCGGCGCCCCCGCGGACACCCCTCCGCCACCCCGGC